TACATAAGACAATAAATAAGATTTATATTCCGCTTTTACTCAAAACTCACTTTAAACCCCCATCGAGTGTTTGTAATAACTTCTGATTGCCGTCTAATGTGTGTTTTGGCCATGTAATGTTGCTGAAATTAAATATGTTATTACCTCGGAGTCAGAGCAGCAATCATGGAAGAGAGAACACAAGCAGACAGTGCTGAAAGCTGCTAATGCTCATCAGTAAATCAGTGGAAAATAAATAGAAATCATGATTCTGTCTGAGCTATGCGTTTTAAAACAAACACTAACTAGTGTAAATGTAGCCTAACAGATGTGTAAACTGAAGACTATTTGAGCTTTATTAAAACTATTTTGCACTGATTTATTGTGTTGGTTACATTTTGTTCCTTTGTGCAGTGGCTCAGGAGATGAGTCTTTGAGTTTGTATAAACATCAACAAGCTGAAAAATAAAACCAATGTTTTTTTTTTTTAGATAATGTAATCTTGTCAAAATTGATTTTATAAAATTGGTATCGAAAAAAGTATAATTCAGGAACCGGTATCGAAGTCAAGATATCGGTATCGATATCGACAATTTTTGAACGATACCCCAATAAAATTTATATTATATATAAACAAAACATATTTTTCTTAAATATATACATGCATTTTTGTGTATTTATATATACATATTAAATATACACAGTACATGCGTATATATTATGTAAACAAAAACTTATTTTGGATGCGATTAATCGTAGGACAGCACTACAGTTAATCTAACATTGATTAACGGTAATGTTTTCTTCAACTGAATTACATTGCAAATGCCATTTCCTTTTGATTTTAAGGTTTACTAAGTACTACTTAACTTGTTGTCAGTCTGTTGGTCTCAACACTCAATTATATTTTTTTCTTTCTCAGACTTTGATGAGATGCATCACGCAGATTCAGAAGGGCCGGTTTCTGAGGGTACTCCGAAACATGCCGCTGACGTTGAGGAGAAAACTGCCATTCAGCACCCTCGCCTTACAGGAGTCAACAAGCGCATGTTCAACCTTCTCAAGAAAGCCAAGGTTCAGCTCATCAAAATAGACCAGCAGAAACAGCTGAAGTCATCTGGGGTAAGTCTATGAAACTGAATGTGTAGCTTACAAAAGAACAGTTTTTCCAGTTACAATTGGTCCATGGGCTAAAGTGGACACAGGTGTGCTATGTAACATTAGCCTACTTTGTGAAAGAAATGAATACTATTATTGAGCAAGGATGCATTAAATTGATCAAAAGTGACACAAGACATTTAGGAAGTTACAAAAATTCTATTTCAAATAAATGCTGTTCATCAAAGAATCGTGAATAAAATGTATCAGGCTTTCCACAAAAATATTAAAGGGATAGTTCACCCAAAAATGAAAATGTGTTGTTTATCTGCTTACCCCCAGGGCATCCAAGATATAGGTGACATTGTTTCTTCAGTAGAACACAAACAGAGATTTTTAACTCAAACCGTTGCAGTCTGTCAGTGGTATAATGTAAGTGGATGGGAATCACGGCTTTTGAGAGTCGTAAAACATACACAAACAAAACCAAATTAAACCCTGTGGCTCGTGACACCCCGCCACCTATCTCTCAAATGGACCATTGACACTCTATCTACAATCTCAATTAGGAGTGTCAATGGTTCATTTGAGAGATAATGCACTTATAAGTCTGCGATCCGCCGTAAAGCAAGAAGAAGAAGAAGAAGAAGACGCCTCACGCGCAGGCTGAAGAAGAAGATGCGAACGCGCTCAGGACAGTTCAGACATTGCGGTGAAAATCAGAGATAAAAAACGATATAATTACTGTTCAGTTTCTTGCACAGACCGATCGTTTCGTGTCTTTACACATCGATGTATCGTCACGAGATACAGGGTTTAATTTGGTTTTGTTTGTGTATGTTTTACGACTCTCAAAGCCGTGATTCCCATCCACTTACATTATACCACTGACAGACTGCAACAGTTTGAGTTAAAAATCTCCGTTTGTGTTCTACTGAAGAAACAAAGTCACCTACATCTTTGATGCCCTGGGGGTAAGCAGATAAACATCAAATTTTCATTTTTGGGTGAACTATCCCTTTAAGCAGCACATCTGTTTTCAACATTGATTATAAGAAACCAAATGAGCTTTTCAGAATGATTTTTGAAGGATCATCTGACACTGAAGACTAGAGTAATAATGCTGAAAATGTAACTTTGCCGTTACAGGAATAAATTACATTTGTAATTAGATTAAAATAGAAAACAATTATGGGTAACACTTTACAACAAGGTTCATGAGTTAACATTAGTTAACTACTTTAATTAACATGAATTAAGAATGAACAATACTTCTACAGCATTTATTAATCTTAGTTTGTTAATTTCAACATTTACTAATGCATTATTAAAATCAAAAGTTGTGCTTGTTAACATTAATTAATGCACTGTGAATTAACATGAACTAACAAGGAATGACTGTATTTTCATTAACTAACATGAACAAAGATTAATAAATACTGTAATAAATGTGTTGTTCATTGTTTGTTCATGTTAGTTAATACATTAACTAGTGGAACCTTACCCAATTAAGTTATAATAATATTTTACAGTGTAACTTTTTTTTTTTTAAATCATACTCTTAGTCAAATAAATGCAGCCTTGGTGAGCTCTTAATATTATTTTCATCTGTTCTCACATTTTCGGTAGCTCTTGCCAATGGGTAGAATCACTGCAACAAAGAGACCGAGACGAAAACCGAAAGAGCGGCTTGAAAATGCCTGTGCCAACAAGACTGAAGCTTCTCCAGAGCAGGTAGTATGTTTTTTTTTGTTTTTTTTGGTAATATAAAACAAGAACACAGAATTGGACAGTAATTTTAAATGATCCCTATGGGATCAAATAAGAATCCTACTGAATAAACCCATTTTTTTTATTTCAGCAATGCTGTACACGTTCTTTTAAGATTTGACTAGGTCATTAGGTGTCTAGGTGACTTGATGTTGGTCAAAGCAGTATGATAACAGCAGAGAATTTGTTCAGTGCTGTTGTTTTTATACTTCACTTTATAAATCTCTCCATAAGGAACCTGCCAGAGGAGGGCCTCGCATTAAGCATGTATGCAGAGCTGCAGCTGTGGTTTTGGGTCAGCCTCGTGCCATGGTCCCCGACGACATCCCCCGACTCAGTGCACTACCCCTGCACGAGAGATCAGATATATCCCCTTCACCTGCAGAAAAAGGTGCCAGCACTTACACTGCAAAGATGACCAATAAACCCAAGAAAGGATCTTATAATAGACCTAGATCTAATGTGTTGTTATTGTCTAATACCTTTTGTTAATTATGTATCAAGTCTGTGTTTTGACATATTCTGTCACTTTTACAGGAGTTGAGTCTCACTCTGACCCAGAAAGCCCTGTATTACAAGAACACAGGACACCCAAGTTTCGCCGTGGTAGGGCTCACTTGTTTGGCAACCGGTCCCGACGGTGTGGGGAGTGTAAAGGTTGTCTGCATGAGGAGGACTGTGGCAGGTGCATAAACTGCTTGGACAAGCCCAAGTTTGGCGGCCCCAACACAAAACGGCAGTGCTGCATGTAAGTATGCTAATTGTTTTAGTATTCTTGCATTTTACTGTTATGACTGCTTGAGACTCACTTCATAGTTTATGCAGTTACTGGGCGAAGCCACCTTTTTACACGTCACATTTTACATTTACTTTGTAAAACTTTGTAAAAATTCATTATTATGGTACGGTAATATTTATACAATATTACAGTTTATAAGGAAAAAATAGTTACTTTTCTTAACAGACAGTGTTATTTATAAACTATTATGGTATTTATTAATATTTAGAAATGGCCTATTTATTTGTTTTGTTTTATTTTTCATTTTAGTTTAAGTTTTAGTCATTTTGTTGTGCTTTTGTAATTTTTATTACTATTTTGTTTTTTTATATTTCTATTTAGTTTGAACTTATTTGTATCTCACTTATAGTCATTTTAGTACTTAAACATTTATTTCCAAGTTATTCAGTTCTCAAGGCAACATTTATGTCAATACAATTTATGTTTGTTTATTTTTTTTATATCTGTCCCTGAAAAGTTTAATTCAGTGTTGTGCAGTGGTTTTCTTGCTTTTGTCAGATTCAAGGCCCTCATATTTTTCAAACTAAGATCGGTGCAGTCCTGTCCAAATTAAATAGCTTTTTTTTTCTTTATTTTTTAAAAGATACAAGAGATGTGATCAGGTTGAGGAAAGGAAGGCCTTGAGACTAAGTGGCAAGCTCCAAAAAGGTAAGAACATGTTTTAGAGTGAATGCAAGCATTCAAAATGAACTGCACTGTTTATCCTCTGTGTGTCAGCTAAAACGTGTCTCCATTTTCAGGGTATGTGAAGAAGCGGCGCTCATCGATAAGTGCGGGGCACTCAAGTAATGAGGAATGTGAGGGCAGTGATGGGATCGGGCGAATGTTTCCAGCCTCTCTAGGTGACAGTCCGTCTGTGCGGAAACAGCCCCGCCGACATGTAAAGCCACGTTCCTACTGCGACCTGCTGGATTACGACTCTGACTTTGACTGGATAGGAGGATCAAATTCCACCTCCCCAGCCCGCAGAAGAACTCCTGGCCTTCGCAACTCAGGTTAGACCATAGTATGGAAGCTTATTTTCACCAGAGAATAAAACAATTGCAATTCTGACTTTTCTCGCAATTTGACATTTTCTTGCAAGTTTATATCTCACAATTCTGACTTTTTTTCACACAATTCTGAGAAAAAAAGTCTGAATTATGAGATATAAACTCGTAAACTTGTGAGAAAAAGTCAAAATTGAGAGAGAGAAATTACATTTTTATTACCTTTTTTGTCTTATTCCTTCACGAGTTTATATCTCGTAATTCTGACTTTTTTTCTCGTAATTTTGAGCTTATATTTCACTATTCTCTTTTTTTTCTGAATAGTGAGAAATAAATTAGTTATGAGTTATGAACTTGCAATTGCTGGAAAAAAATGTCAGAATTGTGAAATAACAATAATAAAAGAAATATTTTTTTTTATTACTTGACAGAAGCAAGCTTGTTACAGTTCTGACTTTTCATCTTGCAATTTTAACCTTTTATTGTTTATATCTCACAGTTATGAGTTTATAGTTTGCAATTTCTCAGGACTGCAAGATAAAAAAAGAATTATTAGATTAAAAAGGCAAAATTGCCTTTTTTGTGTTTTGTGATGGAAACAAGCTCCCATACCGCAGTGATTGGAAACCTAGAACTTTTATATGTGTGTATATATATATATATATATATATATATTATATATTCCACCACTGAATAAAAAATAAAAAAGGTAATTGCGACTTTTTATCTCACAATTCTGACTTTTTTCTCATTAATTGCATGATACAAACTCACAATTCTGACCTTTTTCTCAGAATTGCGTGATATAAACTCACAATTGCGAGTTATAAAGTCAGAATTGTGAGATATAAACTCGCAGTTCTGAGAAAATATCAGTCCCCCCCCAAAAAAAATTGGACTTTAACTCGCAATTGCGAGATTATATCACACAATTCTGACTTTATAACAGTTGTGAGAAAAGAAGTCAGAATTGCAAGATATATATATATATATATATATACTCACAATTGCGAGGAAAAAGTCAGTTATATCTCACAATTCTGACTTTATAATTCGCAATTGTGACTTTATAACTCGCAATTCTGAGAAAAAGTCAGAATTGCAAGAAAAAAAGTCAGAATTGCAAGATATATACTCACAATGGCGAGAATAAAGTCAGTTATATCTCACAATTCTGACTTTATAACTCGCAATTCTGACTTTATAACTCGCAATTCTGACTTTATAACTCGCAATTCTGACTTTATAACTCGCAATTCTGACTTTATAACTCGCAATTGTGAGTTTATATTTCGCAATTCTGAATGTATAACTCACAGTTGTGAGATTATATCAAGCAATTCTGAGAAAAAAAGTCAGAATTGCGAGATATAAACTCACAATTGCCAGAAAAAAGTCAGTTATATCTCACAATTCTGACTTTATAACTCGCAATTCTGACTTTATAACTCGCAATTGTGAGTTTATATCACGCAATTCTGACTTTAAAACTCGCAATTGTGAGTTTATATCACGCAATTCTGACTTTAAAACTCGCAATTGGGAGTTTATATCACGCAATTCTGACTTTATAACTCGCAATTGCGAGTTTATATCTCACAATTCTGTGAAAAAAATTTAATTGTGAGATAAAAAGTCGCAATAACCTTTTTTTAAATTTTTTTTATTCAGTGGCGGAAACGGGCTTCCATAGGAACCAGAATCTTGTTTGTTTCACAAGTAATTTACATGCATTTCTGTTTGTATTAAATGCACCCCAGATTTTGTGTCATTCGACGACTTCATTGGCGATGCTTTTGACGAGGGAGTGCGGCATCGCAGACCAAGCTTCCACAAGGTTCCACCCATTAAACGGAAAGTTGAGAAGGTATTCAGATTGTTGAGGCTCTCATAACTGTCCTCATTCAGCCAAAATGTAATCGAAACTGCGAAAGCATCTTCCATTTTTCCTTTGTTTGCAGAGCCCTCAGGACCAGACACCGCCCAGCGTCCTTGCAGCCCTCGCCAATGGTTTTGCAGAGAGAGAACAGGAGCCCGCAGAGCCCACACACAAGATCCGTGTTGATTTTAAGGTAAATGGCTATATTCCTTTACAAAACTGAACATGAAAGTCAAGCGGCTCTCTAAAGATGTTTTCATGTTGTGGGATGGGCTGATATGTCATTTGTAATCTACACAGATGTTCAGCACTGCAGTGGTTTGCCACATGATGGCAGCACCTGATTCTGTTATGGAAGGATCAGGGTTACCCAGCAGAATAGTCCTGATATATTAAGATATTTGTAATGTTTTTGAAAGAAGTATCTTATGCTTGCCAAGGCTGCATTTATTTGGTCAATAATACAGTAAAATATTGTGTAATATATTTTAAAATCACTGGTTTCTATTTTAATATATTTTAAAATGTATTCCTGTAATGCAAAGCTGAGTTTACTCCAGTCTTCAGTGTCACATGATCCTTCAGAAATCATTCTGATTCTCTGATTTGCTGCTCAAGAAATATTTCTTATTGTAATCAATGCTGAAAATTGTTGTGCTGCTTAATATTTTGTGAAAATCGTGGTAACTTTTTTCAGTATTCTTCGATGAACAGAAAAGCACAGCATTTATTTGAAATCAAAATCTTTTGTATCATTATAAATATTTTTACTGTCACTTTTGATCAATTTCAATGCATCCTTGCTGAATACTAATTTCTATTAAAAAAAGGCAAACTTAATCACGATTTATAGGAAGTCTGATCTCTGTACACAGGAGTTAACATGCACAAACTTGCTTGCATTTGATTAGTGATCTACATATAATGCATATTAATCTTGAATATGCAATGTATTTATAAAAAAAGAAAAGAAAATCATAACACAGGTTTACATTCCAGGATTAAATTTGATTTTGAATCCCGTTTGTTCTGTGTGCTCAGACTTTTGGACCCATTGCATATTTCTCTTAAAATAAAATGTTTGCAGACCAAGAAGCTCATTGGTGTCGATGTTTAGTTGTGTTGTGCATTCAATCTCCCATAGCTTTTTTTTTATCGTCATCATGTCCTTTTTTATTTCAAAGAGAGTTATCTCTGGTCCTCTATCTTCAGGTGAAAGCATGCAGCTAAAATGTTCATTATACCTCTGTCTCTCTCCACAGGAGGACTGTAGTGTGCAGAGCGTGTGGGCGACAGGAGGTCTGAGCATCCTTACTTCTGTACCCCTCGTGCCCCAGTATGTCTGCCTGCTGTGTGCCAGTAAAGGCCAGCATGAGGTATGTCCTGACTGCTCGACATTACAGCAATGTCTTAAAAATGTTATAGGCAGAAAAAAATGTAGGTTCTCAGAATACGTTATAATAATGGGGAAGTTTCACTGGTATTATGGGAACCTGGACATATTTATTTTCGTCATCATGTCAACCAATGTTTTGCAGATGCTGTATTGTCAGGTCTGCTGTGAGCCTTTCCATCACTTCTGCTTGGACCCTTCAGAGCGCCCACTGGAGGAGAACAAGGAGAACTGGTGCTGTCGGCGCTGCAAGTTCTGCCGAGTTTGTGGATGCAAGAATAAAGAATCCAAGGTAGTTTTCGACGCTTTGAAATGTGAACCCTAATCTGAATGGATTCACCTAAGAATAAGAAGCTGAGATTGTCTTAACCAAAGTTCTTCAGGAGTGTAGAGCAAAATTATGAACATTTTGTGACATAAACTACCATTCAAATGTTTGTGCTTTAGTAAAAAAAAAAATTTTTTTTATGTTTTTGAAAATCTGTTATGCTCACCAAGGCGGCATTCAGAAATAGAGTAAAATCCGTAATATTGTCAACCTCTATTACAGTTTTAAATAATTTTCTTTTTGAAAATATTTTTCAATGTCATTTATTACTGTGATGCCAAAGCTGAATTTTCAGAAGCAGTTGAAATCAGTTGTGCTGCTTCGTGTTTTTGTGGAAACTGTGGTACTTTTTGGTTTGACAAATAGAAAGTCCAAAAGAACAGCATTTATTTGAAATAGAAATAGTTTGTAATATTATAGATGGCTTTACTGTCACTTTTCGTCAGTTTAATGCTGAATAGAAGTATTCATTTCTTTTGGGAAAACATCTTAATGACTTTAAAAAATGACACATATTTCCCTTAAACCTACAGGGGTGACGAAAACATTTATACAGTACCATTCAAGAGTTTAAAGGAAACAGCTGTTCTATTACAGCTTTGGCACTGGTTGATTTGTTTTTTTTGTGCTTGATCTCTGTGCAGCCTCTGCTGGAGTGTGAAAGGTGTCAGAATTGTTATCATCCTGCCTGTCTGGGTCCAAACTACCCCAAACCCAACAAACGTAAGAAGCCTTGGGTAAGTTGACCGCAGTGGAATTTTCCTCAGCATGCAAGACCTACAAAGAACTTTCAGTATGCTTTGCTGTCTCAGCTCCCATGATATTGCATTTCATTAAAAAATGTCAAAGCAAAAAATAGTGCAGCGTAAGAGGAACATCTGCTAGGATCAGGCAAAAACAGAACAGTAAAGTGGCAAAAATGAAAAATCCTCGTTTGTATTGTAACTGATGTAAATCAATAAATCAAAATGTAAATTCATTTTTTTCAGGTTTGTATGACATGCATCCGGTGCAAGAGTTGTGGTGTGACCCCAGGAAAGAGCTGGGACACCGAGTGGAATCACGACAAGGGTCTGTGTCCTGACTGCACTAGGTTGTTTGATCAAGGTGAGACTTGTAGGATCTTACTATCTTGACAGTCAGATTTTTTTTATAGCCCTATAATAAATTATGCAGGTGTTCAGCATTTTTTTTAATTTTTTAATTTTTTTGGAGTTAGCATAATACAATGACTTTAGTTGCCATTTGCCTATGCTCTGCAGCTGTTTCATCAGCTGACTCTCACTGGGGTAAAGTTTCCTGTTAAGGAATGGTTCATGTGTCATTAATATTTAACTGTTGTTCAT